AAGTAGTGGGGCGCCTGGGTGGCTCAGTGGGTTAAAGCCTCTGCCTTCAGCTCAGGTTATGGTCTCAGGGTCCTGGGATCGAGCCCCGCATGGGGCTCTCTGCTCAGTGGGGAGCCTGCTTCCTCCTCTCTCTCTCTCTCTCTGCCTGTCTCTCTGCCTACTTGTGATCTCTACCTGTCAAATAAATAAATAAAATCTTAAAAAAAAAAAAAAAGAATCGAAAGTAGTTGCTCAATTTACATGTTTTGTGAGTGTTCAAACTCCCTAGGCTCATAAAATTCAGCTCTACTAAAATGGCATAAAACTTGATTAGATAAGAAGGAATTCAGATTACCAGGCCTCTGCAGCTAACTTGCCAAATTCAACACCTTAAAACAGTTTACAACCTGAGCACAATCAAGTGCGTATCATTATATATTGTTTCATAAAGATTCTCTAGAAACACTTGAAGATTGGTTCTACTGGTGAAAATTATAAAAATCCATAAAATCTACAAGGAGCCAACAGAGTATATAAATCTGGGGGATTTTTTTGTTTGTTTGTTTGTTTTTTCTGGTGATAGGGACTTCAAAATAAGCACTAGTCAATGTGCAGTATAAATGTTTAAAATGAGTCTTCTGCCATGATGTTTCACTTCTGCTTCTAGATCATTTATTTCAACAAGAACTTCAGTTAAATTTGAGTTAATTCAACAGTGAATGGGACCTATTCAGTGTCAAGCATTATACCATGTGAGGACAATAAAAAAGGTGAATAAGACACAGTTTTTGCCCTCCAGAAGCTTAGAGCCTGAAGAAGTAAATTCATTTATTCATTCAGCAATATTTCTTTAATGTCTTCTTACATACCAAGTATGCTCAGGCTACAAAGGTAAACCAGAAAGACAAAATGGTGTTTTAATATAGACTGGTGTTACCAAAAATTAATAATTTTCTTCCATGGATTGATTTTTTTCAGCTATGGTGCATCTTGAATTTTACATTTTTTTTATAGAAGTAAATTGAAGCATTGGTAAATTAGAGTGACTCTGACATGTAGAGATATTTGAGTTAGGAAATGTAGTTATCCATTGCTTTATAACAAAGTTTCCCAAAATTTCGTGGCTTAAAACAACAATAAATGTTTATTATCTCGTATTTTCTGTGAGCAAGAATTTGAGAACAGCTAAGGTTATAACCTAGAACTTTCATAACATGGTAGTCAAATGTCACCAAAACTATGGTCCTCTGAAGCTGGATGTGATTGGAGCTGAAGGATCTACCTAGAAGTTATATCACTCACATGGTGGGCATTGGTGTTGGTTGTGGGCAGGAGGCCTCAGTTCCTCCCCTTGGGAACCCTTTACCAGAACAGCTTGAGTGTCCACTTGGTATAATGCCCACCCTCCCATAGAACAAGACAGCGGCAGATCAAGAGAAATCCAGATGAAAGCTCTTTATATGTGTTCTGAACCACATTTTTATGACCTACTCTTAGAAGTCACACAGCTTCACTGCTACCATATTCTGTTTATTAGAATCAAGTCTTAGTCTGGACTACATTCAAATGGAGGGGAATTAGGGTCCACCTTTTGAAGTATAGAATCTCAAAAACTTTGCAGATAAATTTTTAAACTTCCATGGAAATACATATATGCAAACAATGATTCAAACAACTGCTGATTTCCTATTAGAAAAACTGAAAGCCAGAAGATACTAGGGCAATACTTTTTAGATTCGGAAAAGAAAAATTTAACAGATATTTGTATATCCAGTAAAAATATCTTTCAAAGGCAAAATAAACATGCATTGATAGTGCATAAATTAAGAAAGTTTGTTATCAGTCTACCGGCATAACTAGAAATATTGAGGGAAATACCATAGGCTGAGGCAAAATGACAAGAGAGGAAAACTTAGATGTTTAGAAAGGAATGAGGGTTATAAGAAATTGTAAATGTCAGATATATATAGATTATATATATATATAATCTATCTATCTATATATGATTCTCATTCCTCTTTAAAAAAAAATGACTTTTAAGTAATCTCTATACCAATGTGGGGCTCAAACTCCTGACCCTGATATCAAGAGTCACATGTTCCACCAACTGAGCTGGGCAGTTATGGAAACAGTCCAAGTGTCCATTGACTGATGAATGGATAATGAAGATGTGATCTATATACACAATGGAGTATTACACAGCCATAAAAAAGAATGAAATCTTGGACATCTGGCTGGCTTGGTCAGTTAAGCGTCTGCCTTTGGCTCTGGTCATGATCTCACAGTCCTAGGCTCGAGTCTCTCAATGGGCTCCCTGCTTGGTGGGGAGCCTGCTTCTCCCTCTCCCACTCACCCTGATTGTGCTTGCTCTCTCTCTGTCTCGCTCTCTGTCAAATAAATAAAATCTTAAAAAAAAAAAAAAAGAAATCTTGCCATTTGCCATGACATGGAGGGAGCTAGAGAGTATTATACTAAATGAAATAAATCAGTCACAGAAAGTCAAATACCATATGATTTCACTCATATGTGGAAGTTAAGAAAACAAAACAAATGAGCAAAGGGAAAATGAAAGAGAGAGGGGAAAACCAAGAAACAGACTTAACTGTAGAGACCAAACTGATGGTTATGAGGAGTCTTGGGGATAAATGGAGTTATATGTTTTATGTGAAGTGATATGGTCTTCACCCTAAGTTCACTGTAAAACATTAAAGGCATATATTTTAAAGCCTAGCACAATTACTGAAAAGTAGTGCAAGGAGATAAAGCTAAAAAACCTATAGAATTAGTGTTTATGTAGAAAAATCTGAAAAAAAAAATCAAAAAAACCCTCTAGAACTAAGAAGCAGTTACATCAAGGCTGCAGAATGCAAGGTGAATATATACAAAAGTTAATCACTTTCCTATATACCAGCAATGAACAAGTGTAATTTGAAATGTAAAGCACACATTGCCAGTTACCTTAGTACCAAAAAAAAAAAAAAAAGTATATTTAGGTATAAATCTATAGGTGCAAGATCTATATGGGGAAAACTAGAAAACTGCTGAAAAAAATAAAAACTTAGCAAATAAATGGAGAGATATTCCATGTTCGTAGATGGGAATACTCAGTATTATTAAGATAACAGTTCTTCGCAACTTGGGTCTATAGAGTCAGTGCAATCCCAAACAGCAAGTTATTTTGTGGGTATAAACAAACTGATTCTAAAGTTTATACAGAAGTTCAAAATACCCAGAAAAGCCAACATAATATTAAGGAGAAGAGCATAATTTGAAGACTGACTTTCCCTGTCTGTAAAACTTAAATATAATTTTTTTTAAATTTTTTTTTTTTTTTTTTTTTTTTTTTTTTTATCTATTTATTTGACAGACAGAGATCACAAGTAGGCTGAGAGGCAGGCAGAGAGAGAGAAAGGAGGAAGCAGGCTCCCTGCCGAGCAGAGAGCCCGATGCAGGGCTCGATCCCAAGATCCTGGGA